GGCCGCCTGGACTCCAGAGCTGGAGCAGGGACCTGGACATCAAGCCTATCCCTTCTCGGGGAGGAAACTCAAGCTCTGACGTAGTGGTCAGGGGACACTTAGGAAATGTGTGAAGCTTGTTATCATTACTGGAAAGACGTGGAAACCTAGCGTCAGCTACCTAGTGAGTCTGGGGCGGCCACAGTGAGGTGTGAGTTTGTTCAGCCTCTGGCCCCGCTGCCCACCAGCTCTGCCCTCCTTGGCGTGTTTTTACCCCCCTGAACCTTGGGCTTCTTATCCATGTGGTAGAGTTAAGAATGCCAAGGTCACAGGGTTATTGTGAGACCCAAAGTCACACACTCATTCATTTATTATGACTCGTCATTCAACAGACACTTCTTAAGTGTCAGTAGTCTGCCAGATGCTCGTAACAGTCCTTCCTTCTTGGAGCCTGTGGTCTAGTGGGGGAGACAAATGGCACATAAGCAAACAAAAAAGATAAGCACCGACTATTAGAAAGGGAACAAACCAATGCCTCCGCCACTGCAGCCCGTGAGCTCAGGTTTGAGGACACACCCCTGGCTCCGTCCTGGATGTTGTGAACATGCACATGCTCATACAGGAAGGCTGGGAACACCTAGGTCATGTTCCTAATGTCAGATATGTCTTAGAAATGACACTCCTGTCCTCGTCACCATAGCCATAAACCCACCTCAGGGCCATCCCCCTTCCAGCTGAGTCAGGAGTACCAACGTCTCAGGTTATCATACAGATCTGAAGTCATGCACTCACTTTACTCCTCATTCAGCAAATGGTACTCTGAGACAGAGAAAGAAGGCAGTTCTTCAGAACCTGCCTCTCGGTGACATAGCTTTGTTCTTTCAAAATGTTTCTGAAGATGAGTCTGTCACTTTAAGCCTTTGTCAGCATTTGTTCCTGGGTTTTTATGCGGGGAGTCCCAGGTCCTTTATGTTTCTGTTATTACGAGTCAGGAAACAGGGTTGCCAAGTAAGGGGTGTCCATTTCAGTGGCATAAGAGAAATGGGCTCAGGACCAGGCCGGTCGTGATATTTCTAGTCTTTAGATTTGACCACTAAAACTTATAAATCAGGAGCATAACTTACATTGGTTTATCATTTTAATGTCAATAATAATAGCCAGCATTTATGGAGCACTCACTCTGTTAGGCGCTGTAGAAAGCACTTGTACTCAGCTTGTCTCATTTGAGTGTCACCTCCCTGTGAAATAGGACAGGGTCAATGCAAAATCTCAGAGTAGAGTGAACTTTATCTTCTAGAAGCCTGAGTCTGAGTAAGGATACGAGACTTGTCCCAAGTCACTTGGGTGATAAGGACTGGACTTCGAGCTCCTAACTGCTGGGATTGTGTGCGTCTTAGTCACAGCTGTATTTTTGGCACTGTGCCTCCTATACAGTAGGCCCTCAGTAAATATGTACTGAATGGATGAGAAAAGAGGGGGCTAAAACTCCGATTTCTCTATTTGCCTTTCAGGTGCTTTTCCTAGTGACTTGAAAGATTAAATGAGTAACTATATGTAAAGCGTTTGCACATGACAGCCACATAGTATGTAATCGGTCAGTCACGTTAGCTATATTCTCAGAATTGATTATTAACGACTTTATGGAGAATTTCTACAGAAATTGTCATTGATCAGTGTGGGAAAAAACTTCATAATAAAATACATGTCTGCTATAAAGTTTATACTACTTTATACTATTTGTATGTACTGTTATATACTATATACTGGACGTTCTTGCCACTCCGGGTATTGCCCTAAGTTGAGATTTTCTTTACTACATTTATTCACTCCGGAGTGAGATGGCTTATTGTTTTGACATAAACTTGAGCCAGAATGAAAACGAGGCATTTTCAGCTCTGTTTTGATCAGGTGGTGGGAGGGACAGTCATGGAGGTGCCAGGTGCTTTTCTTGGTGACTTTTTCCTAGATCTGCCTGTGCATGATGGAAGGGCAGTCTTTGACTCATTCCTCTTTCTAACTGAATGGTCATCAGAAATTCCCCCAAACCATGAGGGCAGATAAACTTAGTGCCAGCCCATCGAACAGCTCTTGCTTAAGTTTCTTTAATTCGGTTGGAAGGAATTCTTACAAAAGCAGCTTGTCATCTCATTTTATGTCCCATCCGCCCTCCTTAGAGATACAGAAAGCAGTCTTGTGTAAGTTGCCTCACATCCTTTCCTAAGACCTTCATAGGAAAACCCCCAAATATGTCACGAGGTTTCACATCTTTTAGTCATTTTATTCCTAACAAGAGCACATCTTATTGGCTACGTTACCACATAGAAATGTAGGATGTTACTATTCCCACTGAAAGAGGCAATGTGAAGGCTCTGCCCTTTTAATCCATCACCTCTGCTGTCCCCTCCGGCCCCCACACTTCTCTCCAAGTCATTGTGAGAGGTTTTTTGAAGTTTGAGGCCATTCTAAGCACTAGGACTCCTATCCTCATTAGGGGGGCACATCTCTTCAAACGCAGTTCCCCATTCTTTCTTGGTCTGGTAGTTTTTTTTAAGGACCAGGAGTGTGCTGGGTTCTGTGCTATACAGTGAAGGCGCACAGAGCTGACCCCAGGGGAGCCTGTGGGGAGAATCGAATTCAAGGACTAAGCACTAGGGTGGCTGAGACTGTGGGTCGCTGTGCAAACTGAATTTCCCATCCAGTCAGACCTAGGTATTACCCTGGATTCCACCCCACAGGCTGTGTGGGGCATATAGGGCAGGAGGAAGCGTGGAGGGGTAGGTAATCCTGGAGCTTGGGCCACTTGTAAGACCCATTTGTGTATATTCCGTATTTACACAACACTCTGGGTGGGAGCCAGGGGACAAAGTTGGTTTTCATTAAAGCCATGCAGATGGGGACTGTGCTGTCTGTGGTATGCTGAAGTAATATACGTGACCCGAGTGCCCTCCTTTTCAGGAATTCCTGTATACTTTTTCATGATTTAACTCAAAACTCACCTTGCCACAAAGCACTTCCTGCTTAACTCTGTCCCTCTCACTGCTGTGGAACTCTGAGGATCCAGCACTTGGATGTTTAGACTTAATCACTATAAATGTTATTTTTAAAGTCCTGGGTGTGTGTGTGTGTGTGTGTGTGTGTGTGTGTGCGCGCGCGCGCGCGCATCAGTGGTGCTCCTACCCACCCACCCACCCTTTCCTTTTAATATCTTTTAAATTCACCCGACTAGTGTAGTATCATCCTAGTTCAAGCCTGCTTGCCTCCCATTTGGATCCGTCCCTGCCCCTGCCAGGTGTCCCCCAGTTCTCCACACTGATCAGAGTGGTCCCTGCACAGAGCACTCTTGTCAGGCCCCCTTCTCAGACCCTTCAGAGGCAGCCGGGACCTTAGCATGGGGGCCAGGACTCTTCGCGTGGCTCCTGTGTCCCCCAGTGCGCCCATGTCTGGGCCCTGCTCTCTAGTGCTCACCTGCCCCGCCCTCTCCTGTGCCTTCCAGCCCCTCCTGCCTCACACACTCACACACACACTCACACACACACACACACACACACGCACACACGCCTCCCCGCCGTGCTGATCCCTCAGGAGAAACAATCTTCCCTCTCCGCCTGGCGGCCCCTCCACCACCCTCGGCCCCTGGAGCCTCCGGTCCCTCCGTTTCTCACTTCTCTGCCGTCACTGTGTTGTGTTGCCGCCTCTCTCTCTCCACGAGAACACCCCTTCTGTGCGGGCAGGCAGTGTGTGTGGCTGCTGCACCCTGTATCCCTGGGTCCTGGCACACACGGTGCCTGCCTGGCACAGAGCAGCAGACGCTCAACCAATATAATGAATGACAATGACTCACATAAAAAGGATTGAAGAAGATAATATCCGTAAAGCGTTTACTACTGTGCCTGGGGCATTGTTGGTCCTCAGGACATGGTTGATTGTTTCATTGATATATTCGTTTATTAAATTATTTATTAAGTGCCTGGCCAGTGTCTGTGGGCATACAGCAGCAAACAAAACGGGTAAAATCCCTGCCCTCATGGACCATGCGTGCTGGGTGTGTTCTCTCTCTCAGCCCTCTCTCTCTCCACCTCCTGCTGTACCCCCCCCACCCCCACCCTACTTTGGACATCTTTGCCGTCTTCTCCCTGCCCCACCTGGGACAAGCGCCACCAAACTGCAGCCACTCCTGCCAGAGTCACCTTGGCAAGGGAAGAGGCCCGAGAGCTTTTAGTGGATTCCAGCAGCCTCGGAGGCTGCTGACAGGGGCATCGCCTCCTCTGCTGGAATAAATAGATCAGGAGTAAAAACAGAAAAGCAAAAGCCCAAAGCCTGGAGAAGCAAGCGCCCCACTGAAAGTGCCGCTCAGGACTGCCCGTGTTCTCACCTGTCAGCGGGGGCTGCACCGGGCAGGCCAGGTCACCGGGCAGTGTTTGTAGAGCAGGACTTCAGAGTGTCCTGCGCCTCAGGGAGGAATCGCCTCAGCCTCCCTCTCTGCAAAGCCAAAGCCACCACCACCGGCCTCTGAGGAGAAGGTGGCGAGGCTCAGCTGTGCAGAGCAGCCGCCGCCCCAGATGACCAGCCTTCCTCCATGGACTCATGTCTGCCTCCGCAGGTCAAGGTTTAGGAATTGTGAGGCCAGGTCCTCCTCTCCGAGGTGACTCAGCCCTGAAAGCAAAGCCTCCAGAAGCAGCAGGCTCCTCGTTGTGCAGTAGATGGTCGTTGCTTGAACGCCGTGTGCTCCCCACTCAGGGTCCATTTCCCAGTCTGGTGTTCCCATCCCACCCTTCCTCTGCTTGGGTCCCTGCTGCTCTCTGCAAACTGGCATTCGCTAACTGGCACTGAGGGGCCTCTCTGCCCCTCCTGCAGGAAATGTCCATGTTCTCAACGGTCATGTGAAGCCGGTCTTGTAAAGCTCCGGAGCTCTCAGGCCCTGTGACCAGCTGGGGAAGGCAGGCTTCCTGCACACCAGACCACTGCTTACAAACTACTACTGCTTTTGCTTTTCCCTAAAACGATTCTTGTTTTCATTGCAGAAATTTCCAGAATTGAAATTCAAATACGTGGAAGAAGAGCAGCCCGAGGAGTTTTTTATCCCCTATGTCTGGTCTCTGGTCTACAACTCGGCCGTGGGCCTGTACTGGAACCCACAGGACATCCAGCTCTTCACCATGGATTCCGACTGAAGGCGGCCCCAGCTCCCACCCTGACCCCCTCCAGCCAAGCAGTCCTCATAGTTACTTTTTTCTGGAGAACAGTAGACAGATTGCCTGGTATGTCTTCTAGTAAAGAGGATCACACAGGCATGTTTCCCTTGCGCACTTGGATTTGGAGAAGTGATGCCCATCGGCAGTAGATCACTCAGCTTAGATTGCAGTGCAAAAAGTGGGGGAATACACAACAATAATAAATATAAATCCTGCTATTCCACATGCAATTTTATTTCTAAACCAAAATCTAGAGCTTTTCCAGGAACCTGATGCCTTAGGCATATAACACTTACCAATATGTATTTTTTTATTTTGCATGTTCAAGATTTTTGGTGTGTGTGTGTGTGTGTGTGTGTGTGTGTGTTCCTTTCAACATTAAAAAATATCAATATGAAAAGATGACAGGATAGGAATTAATAAGGAAATGAAACCGTGTGTGTGGCAGGGCTGCTTTTCAGAGGGCCCGGGATTTAATAAACATGGTGAGCAGGCAATTGGCTGTGAGCCGTCAGATCCTCTGCAACTTGCCCTCAAAGAAAGAAATGGCTCCTTCTCGTGAAGCCCAGATTAGTTTTCTGTGGATTTGGCCTCTGAGCTGTAGCTGAATTAAATTGGAGTCTTGTACAAATTAGGTTAATCTATCTGAATTAATTATTGAGAAAAGAAAAGCTTCATTTCAAAAGCAATCTTTTTTCTTCAACCAGACTAATAGGAGAAGAAAGAGATCAATTTGATTAATACGGTATTCCCCATGAGATGAAAAACATGTTTTTCTCTTCATTTCTGACTTTGTTTGAACTCTTACGGGCCTAAGCGATCCGTGTTTGGTCCCTGAGCTGGAGGGAGGGGCTTCTCTGAGGGAAAGGCCAGAGAGCGCTCCGCAGAGCAGCAGCATTGGGGGCCAAGCAGGACAATCCTGTCAAGTCCCCCTCCACGTCCATGGTCGCCCTGTCACAGCCTAGATGAGGAGCCTGTTTCATTCAAAAAGACCCAGAAAGTGTTTGATTTTCTGCATAGAAGCGCACAACCCCACAGGAGACCAAGCACCCTCCTTCAGCCAGCTGCCATCTAATCCAGGACAAGGTTCAAGGACCAGCTTCTCTCCTGTCGCTGTGTCCCCCACTGGAGGCCTGAGTCATGTTGCCCCGTCTCTGTCTCTTGAGGAGCCGGGAGGAGCCATCTTCAGTCACACCACTCTCTGGAAAAGGGTAAAAATGCTGCCCGTCGACCAGTGCACACCTGTGTGCTTTCTGCCCGAAAAAGCCTGGGCTGCTCCATCCTTCAGCAGGGTGTTGAGGTCAGCCGGTGGTTTCATTATCCTCTCCGAGACCAGTGTTGACACCAGAGCTCCCTGGGGCTGGCGATGCAGGGCCGTTGCTGGCGGGGACCCGGGAGGCCCGTGCAGCTCACCTGCTGCCTCCACACGGCTCGTCTGTTCAGGCCTCTTCCCTGTCCCCATGAGTGGCTGGAACGCTTGTATTTAACGTCACCCGGACAGGGCCTCAGGCCAGCACATGAGGCATGATAACGGCTTCTGCTGAGCCCAGCTTGAAGGCGAGATTGAAGACGGAAGGGCCAGTCCTCACAGTCAGAAGGGGGACGTGGTATGATTATCATCTTGGGTAGCAATTATTTTTATTTCTTAGGTGGGGAAATGCTATACAACTTTAATTTGTTTCCGAAGCTTTTTGATTTGCTTCCTTTCCTTTAAACCAAAACACGAAATTTTCAAAGGGTCTCGTGGGGCTACGCAGCCTCTGGTAGGACCACAAAACTGTCCTCAGAGGCTGCCATGGGATAGTCACTGGGCTGCAGGACCCTCAGTTCTTGTGACAGGAGGAAATAGGGTCCCCCAAAACTCAGTCACAGAGAGCAGACAACTAAGGAAGGCTTGATTGAGGAAACCCCAGTCTTGCCCAGATCACCTGGCTCACCAAGGTGCCCCCAAAGCCCCATTCCCAGCAGCCCCCTTTCCTGCCTTACCCCCTCCTTTTAACCACACAGCGGAAGTGCTCACTGACCTAAAAGCTCAGCTGGGGCTGCAGCCTGAGAAGCAACGTGTGTGTACATGCTCCCAGACACCACTGCATCACCATCTCGGCTCTACAAATCCACCAGGAGTTGCTTATTTTTGTGAAAGATTTATTACATGACAATAAATTTAAATGATATGCTTGAATTATGCTCACATTAATTTGCTTAGAAATTTTTTGTTGTTTTCCACAAAGTAAAAATGTGTAGAATGAGGCAATACAGGACCATCATTTGTTGGGAAAGAATTAACATCTGATTTTACCCAAGATACAAAGCTGTTATTGCAGTGTGTCAGCTCCTCAACAAAGGGTCCTGCCACAATATTTATTTCTAAAAGAATTGCCCCTTTCAATAGCACCTTCCCTGCCAAGAGTTCAAGGCACTGTGCAGAAAAGCTTCAAAATTCCCAGTCACCCATTGAGGCCAGTGTCATAGGATCTGTGAACAACAGCCTTGCAACGCTGGCATCACAAGACGGCCACCATTCAGCGGTGCAGACAGAAGCGAGATTATGGAGCAGCTCAAGGACAAAGACAGAGAAAGGAAAGGAAAGAAGGTACCGGAAGGTGAAGCATATAAAGTACACTGCACACACAGTCCTCTCCTTAGGAAGGAACTCGTGGGGGCTGGAAAAGTGGAAGGTGGAGAGGAAAGGACAGGCCCAGCATCAGTCAGAACACAGCCACTTCCTCAAGCTTGCTTGAGTGCGCCCACAAGAGACGTTTAGTGAGGGAAAGCTTGTAGGCCCTGAATTTCTTAATTCCTCCTTCTTTAGGCAACATGGCGTCCTTCAGGTTCTGGGGAGCCAGGGATTTGCCTCTGGCATTACAGCCTTCTGCATAACTGAGTCACTCTGTGTTCCTTTCTAGTGTCATAAATTAGAGTAGTGGGTACTTACTGATCCTTTATAGGCTTGGGTTTGCAAGGTCAACCCTTTGGGTCTTAATTTCCTCCTAGGCAGTATGCCTGCAGTTTTCAGTAGCTGCCATTTGATATTAGGGACTGATCCTTGGGCTTTCTGACGCCAATTCAGGGCTATTCCAGGGTCCTACATCGCCTCCAGGAGTCAAGGAGGTCAGGGTTTCTATTTTCTGACGAAGAGCCAAGCTTCCCCTGAATATGAAAAGATAGGGGAGTGGCGGTGGGGGGGGGGGGGGGTTTCTAGCACACAATCCACAGCGAATAATTCATCTTTATTTTTTTAGGAACTCAAAGCATACAATTGAACCTCAGGGTATATCCATTTAGGGTCCCCCATCCAAAACAAGGGAGATTCTTCGGGAACCCCCACTGCCTTGAGTTCAGGTCACGTACGGTAACCCCTGCTCTCCTGACTTCACAAGGCTCTCAGAGTCCCAGCTCCTGAGCCCATGGAGTTCCAAAAGTCCCCCAGAAAAAAAAGCAGTCCCGTCCAAATGGCCAGGTAATACTTCGCCATCCTGTTGGCTTTGGGATGACTTCAAGATTTTTAAATATTTTGGCCAGATTCCCAAGTTGTCCTTCGCTGCAGGGTTGGTTTGGATCCCTAGTGCCCCAGGGCTATCAGTAGACTATCCTTCATGGATTCTGTGTCCCAGCTTCTGAAGCAGCTCAGGCCCTGAATGCGGATCGAGGTAAAACCAGGTTACCTCCAGGTGCCTAGCACCTACACATGCTCTCTGGAGGAAGCAAACTGTTACGGACTGAATATTTGTGTCTCCCCAAAATTCATATATTGAGCCCTAATCCCCACTGTGATGTTCTTAGAAGGTGCGGCCTTTGGGGGTGATTAGGTTTACATGAGGTCATGATGGTAGAGCCCCCATGATGAGACCAGTGCCCTTATAAGGAAAGACATGGAGAGATGACTCCACCATGTGAAGACATAGCAAGAAGACCACCATTTATAAGCCAGGAAGGGGGCTCTCACCAGGAACCAAATCACCCAGCACCTGGATCTTGGGCTTTTCAGCCTCCAGAGCTGAGAAATAAATGTCTGTTGTTTAAGCCACCCAGTCTATGGTATTTTATTAATAGCTACCCAAGCTAAGACAGGAGCATAACCCAAGGCCTCATTATTTCTACAATGTTACAATCAGAAATATACAGGTATAGGGCTGGCCGAGTGGCGTGTTGGTTAAGAACTGGCTTGAGACGCCAGAGGGCCCCGGTTCGGATCCCACATATGAGGGCCAGTGACACTGCCCTCCACAGCTAAGATGCTGAACAGCAGCTCAACCTGGAGCTGGGCTGCCGTGAGTCGCCGGCAGCGGTGTAGTCTGCAGTCCCTGCTGCAGTGGGTTGCCATAAGCTACCATGTGTAACCAGCAGCCGCAGTGAGTGAGCAGCCGTCCAGAAGCCGGCGACTGATCTGCCTCGCCCAGGAAGAGCGCAATGATGGTGCTAACTTGGCCCAGTGAAGCAACGTCTTCCACAACTAGACTGAAGAACAAAAGAACAGCAACTTGCCTGTTCCCCTTCCCCCAATTCCCCAGCACTGTTCCCATCCCCCCAATTCCCCAATAAAAAAAATCTAAAAAAAAAAAAAGAAATATACAGGTATATGAGAAGACCAGATAATATGAATTAAAGCCATAAGAGGAAGAAAAAAAAATACACAATAGAAACACGCATGGTGTCTCCAAATAGTCACGGAATTTGGACAGCTATGCTTTTTGTGTTCAAAGAAAAAAAAAATGTGTGGCCAAGAATTTCAGAGAATTAGAAACTATAAAAAAAAAAAGCTAGATAGAAATTAAAGAACTGAGACATACTATAACAAGAATTATAACAAGTGGGGCCGGCCAAGTGGCTCAGTTGGTTAAAAGTTGGCTTAAGAGCACAAGCTCTGAGCAACAGGGCCACTGGTTCGATTCCCACATAGGCCAGTGATACTGTGCCCCAGCTGAGCTGTTACTGAGATGCCAACAGGTGGCAGGATGGCTCAGCTGATCTAACAACAAGATTGCCTATTCAATGGTGGGCTACACCCACCCGCAACTAAGACTGAACTCAGAACCTTGAGCTGAGAGGCCGCCCGAATGGCTCAGTGGATACAGCATGCGCTCTTAACAGGGCTGCTGGTTAGACTTCCACATGGGATGGTGGCTACGTCCACCCACAACTAAGATTGAACACAGCACCTTGAGCTTAGAGGCCACAAGCTGCCGACGGGCAGCCAGATGGCAACTGGCGCCCTCCACAATGAAGACTGAAGAACAGCAAGTTGGCTGGTCCTCTTCCCCAATTCCCCAATAAAATTTTTAAAAAAATTAGAATAATTCAGGGGAGCGGGGTGGCTGGATAGCTCAGTTAGTAAGAGCACAAGCCCTGAACACCAAGGTTGCTGGTTCGATTCCCATGGGCCAGTAAGCTGTGCTAGTAAGCTGCGCCCTCTATAGCTAAAATTGTGAACAATCACTCGACCTGGAGCTGGGCTGCCATGAGTGGTCGGCAGACGGCATGGACTGCCGTGGGCTGCCGTGAGCTACTGTGAGCCGCCAGGAGTGGCCAGTAGCAAGCGTGAGTGTCCGGCAGCCAGGGAGAGCTGCCGTGAGCTGCCATGAGTGGCTGCCCAACGGCTAGCGACCGACTACTTCATCCGGGTAGAGCAGCATGATCATAATACCAACATGGGCCAGTGAGCTGCATCATCCTCTAGACTGAGAACAACGGCTCTGAGGTGGGGAGGGGAGCGGATGGGGAATGGGGGTAAAACAAAAGAATTTAATGGGTGGATTCAAGCGCAGGTTAGTCAACTGAGAATAAGATGAAAAATCAGAGGAAAAAGCACAAGTTAAAAAGATAGAGAATAGAGGGTAGGAGACGTGAACAACACAGTGAGGATGTCTGACCTAAAAGTAGTTGGAATCTCAAAAGAGTAAGAGAATGGAATGTTTACCTAAATAAATATTGGCTGAGAGCCTTTCCAAAACTCATGAAAGATATCAAGCCATAAATTCAAGAAGCCCCAGAAAATCTCAGGTGAGATAAATAAGAGACAGTTCACACCTAGGCACGTCATAGTCAAACTTTAAAGCCAAAGAAAAAGAAAAATGTTAAAGCTGCTGGTAGGGGTAGGGGAGGGATTACCATCAAAGGAGCAACAATTAAACTGAGCTGCTAACTTCTCAGCAGAAACAATGAAGTGTAGCGCCTTTAAAGCGCTGAAAGAAAGTGACTGCCAATCTAGAAATTCCTAATTGGGGAAAATAGCCCACAAGAATGAAGAAAAAGGGCCGGCCGAGTGGCGCATTGGTTAAGAACTGGCTTGGGACGCCAGAGGGCCCTGGTCTGGCTTGGGACGCCAGAGGGCCCCGGTTCGGATCCCACATACGAGGGCCAGTGACACTGCCCTCCACAGCTAAGATGCTGAACAACAGCCCAACCTGGAGTTGGGTTGCCGTGAGTTGTCGGCAGCGACAGTGTAGGCTGCAGCCCCTGTGGCAGTGGGTTGCCATGGGCTACCGTGTGTAGCCAGCAGCCAGCATGAGCGGCCCTCAAGCCGCCGGGAGCAGCCGTCCTGAAGCCAGCGACCAATCTGCCTCATCTGGGAAGAGCGCAAAGATGGTGCCAACTTGGGCCAGTGAAGCAACGTCCTCCACAACTAGACTGAAGAACAAAGGGACAGCAACTTTTCTGTTCCCCTTCCCCAATTCCCCAGTGCTGTTCCCATCCTCCAACTCCCCAATTTAAAAAAAAAAAAGAATGAAAAAAATAAAGACATTTTTAAACTAATAACTGGAAGAATTCATCAACACATACGCCCTCAACGAAAATGAAGTGTTCCAAAGGCAGAAGGACAGTGATCCCAAATGTAAGGATTGAAGAGCAATGAAAATGAGAAATGTGCAGGTCAACATAAACACTGACTACATAAAACAATAATTGTGTCTTGTGGCGTTTAAAATATATATTGAAATGTGTGAAAGTAAAGGTATGGGGAGGACTTAAATGGAGTTTGTGTTCTAAGACACATCAACCAAGAAAAGGGTTATTTTTGTGTGTGTTTTTTTTTAAGATTTTATTGCAGAATCGGGGAAGGGGAACAGACAAGTTGCTGTCCTTTTGTTCTTCAGTCTAGTTGTGGAGGACGTTGCTTCACTGGCCCATGTTGGTATTATCGTTGCGCTCTTCCCCGGTGAGGCAGTCGCTCGCAGCCATTGG